ATTAACGCTCTCTAAACCGGCATCCAGTATCTCGGCTCTCCTGTTGACTGGCTGAACGTGTATTAAACATTTGGATTGGTTATTGACTACATTCCAGACCACAAATTGGCCTGTAATTACAATCTAAACATTCCAAGTCATTCCTGTCAACCTGTTCATATCAACAATGTTAAGACCGAAATCCTCAGTGATGGCCTGAAGGTTGGGTTTGACTATACATGTATACCGGAAAGTTATCGCCATATTGTGATTCGTTGATCTGCATTACCGCTTGTCTGTCATACAGACCCTGAAACAAATGTATCCAAGAAAGCCCATGCAAGTCTAGAATATGTGTCAAGTCTAGATTTCTGAAAATGAAGAAAGTCTTTGGGCTCCTTTTCATTATATGAACAGTTCTTTTTCTGTAAAGTATGTTCATTTCAGAGACAAGATGTTAGTCTACCATACCGCCAAGATGTTTGATTACCGTGACACAATATGTCTGACCCTGATCTTCAGAAAGCCTGAAGGAAAACTACCATGAAAACAGGCATAAAGAAAGAGCTTTCCTACCGTGAACTCCTTAACACTGAATACATTATTTCCTTGTCGAGTCATCGCAGAATTTTTATGGAAGACATTCAGAGGAATTTAAGAAACGTGACACGTTGATTGTTCACTTGTCACGCGATGCTACCCCATGCAGACATTTAAGGGTAGTTTTGAGATCGAACAGTTACTTACCTTGCCAGTTTTGCATGGTGCCGCGCTAATACAGGCGTTTGGTCGGTCATGTCGTTAGACAGCAAGAACTTACTTTTAAATGAAAACAGTGTGAGTGGTGACTGTTACCGAGAGGTCGGGGCATCACTGTCCTTCTTATGAAGGACACCCGGAGGATGAGAGCACCCGGGGTCAACTCTGATTTTCAGTCGTCCTTTCACGTAATATTTCTAGGTTTGTGAGAACCTGCCCCTGCCCGTGGGTTCCACACAGTGGTAAATGTCTGAGACCTGCTTTCCTTCCACGTCAGGTGTTAAACCCAATTCACGCACTCACACATAAGTCGGCTGACAGGACTCCCTGCCTTTAGTAATGACATGATCGTTTTGGTCTGGTAGCCAAGTGGTTAAAGCTTGAGTATTGCTAAATATTGCTTCTAACAGCGGTTTAATCCCGTGTCACTCGCTAACTAAGTCCCAAGTCACGAAAGGAGACACACGTTTACTCAAATGCCATTTGTGGTGTCCAGGAACTCGCGTTATGTAACAGGAATATTGCTAAAGCCTTACTCACTTACTCCCTCAGCTGATTTAGCATATGTATACACAAGGAACGTTGCAACCATAACTTATATTAGCTCACTCTCTTACCAAACAAATATATGTTGGTAAAACATAAGAGAACTACATATGTAAGACAGATACGTCACTGTGTATAATATGCCAGTGTGTAAGACGTAATTCCGTGGTGGTATGTGGTGCTGTGCATAGAGCTCAGCTCACAATCAGTTGAAGTTAAGCAACGTTGGGCGCGGAGAGTTCTTGGGAGGGTGCCGTGTTTGGCAGCTTGACTCCTCAGAGTTTCTTGGAGTTTAGTCCTGACCCACAAGGAAACACATGTGATACACATCGTCTCACCTTAGGCAAATTAAAAATTGCCTCTGTTCACCCGGCAGAAAATAGGTACACTGCGGGATATGACATGTGACTCTTAATCTTCATGCGCCTCACCGGCAGCTTGGGTTATCCAGAGTAATAATGACCTGATTGTGTCATTTGAGCAGGATGTGAAGCCTGGAAAGGCGCGTTATAAATATTCAGCATTATTATTATCTATTAAGATGTGATTCACTCGAATAATTTACTAATTGCAATGCATTTAAGCAATTCCAGCAATTCTGCAAGATAAATATAACAACCAAAAATGAACTTATTAAAATGCTATCATTTTGAGACACTGGGTGATAAATTGCAACATTAAAAATTTAGAATTTGTCATCACATTTAAACCAGTAAACAGATTTTTCAGTAAGTTTGAAAAAGGACTGCAATATTGGGAAAGGTGGAAACTTCAGTCATTTCATACATTGACTTTAAGATTCGTATATCAAATGTATCGAGTCATGATTGCAACGCAGGGTGTTGACAAGTTTGTTTCCAGGTGTGTTGACGGATGTATTGAGGTCATGCTGACAGCATGACTATGTGGAAATTCATGAAAGGGAAACATATGAATCATGGTGACCGTTCTGGTGACCTCATAAAACTGTACTTGGGGCCGACTATTTGAGATGTATTCTTGGTTATCAATAGCGTCTGACTGGCGTATAGACAAGTAACAGAGCACAACAACCATCGAAGCGGAGACATATTAACCCCACCCATAACTTAGCTGCACTGCAACAACGTTTAATAAATGAAACCATAAGACATGCGAAGTATATAATCTTTGCACAAGGTATAAACATTTCATGCAAAGATACATTGAGGAGAACCGTGATCAACCTAGGTGTTCAGTAGACAAATCGCGTGGGGACATCGGGTCTTCCGTAGACACATCGCGGGACGACACAAGGTCTTCTGTAGACACATCGCGGGACGACACAAGGTCTTCGGTAGACACATCGCGGGACGACACAAGGTCTTCGGTAGACACATCGTGGGACGACACAAGGTCTTCGGTAGACACATCGCGGGACGACACAAGGTCTTCGGTAGACACATCGCGGGACCACACAAGGTCTTCGGTAGACACATCACGGGACAACACAAGGTCTTCGGTAGACACATCGTGGGACGACACAAGGTCTTCGGTAGACACATCAAGGGACAACACAAGGTCTTCGGTAGACACATCGTGGGACGACACAAGGTCTTCGGTAGACACATCGCGGGACGACACAAGGTCTTCGGTAGACACATCGCGGGACCACACAAGGTCTTCGGTAGACACATCACGGGACAACACAAGGTCTTCGGTAGACACATCGTGGGACGACACAAGGTCTTCGGTGGGACAACACAAGGTCTTCGGTAGACACATCGCGGGACGACACAAGGTCTTCGGTAGACACATCACGGGACAACACAAGGTCTTCGGTAGACACATCGCGGGACGACACAAGGTCTTCCGTAGACACATCGCGGGACGACACAAGGTCTTCGGTAGACACATCGCGGGACGACACAAGGTCTTCCGTAGACACATCGCGGGACGACACAAGGTCTTCGGTAGACACATCGCGGGACGACACAAGGTCTTCGGTAGACACATCGCGGGACGACACTACGTGTGGTGATAACACGGTTTTGTTACTGACCACTCGTGTGACAGCACCAGATATTACATGGGTACCTTAGCAATATTGAACATCAGTCCTGCAGAGAATACTTTCTTAGACCTGACATGCAATATAAAATATGACGACTTTCATACCTTTCAGCATCATGAATATGCATAAAGTTTGTGGTTGACATTTATGTCTGTAGATCAAAAGACATAACACGAGCAGCTCAACGCATGGATGCCCGTCAGATGTAGGCAGTCACGAAACAAGATACGTGTACAATGTTTTTGTGAATTGAGGACATGTCTCGTGGAAATACAATCATTAAGCAATTTGTAGAGTCTATATACGCATCTCCAGGGTCATACTTGGGCTCCATCAGTAGATTAAAAACGACAACGCCAAACAATAATCAGCCGAAACTGTTTCCTATAACGAAAACAAACTTTGTAGCGATCGGTGTTCATGAAAGTATACGTATGTCGTCCTCTACCGGCAACCCCCATCTTTAGATAAAAACATCAACTGAAGTAATAATAAACATATCGGGAACATTTAGTGAAATATAATCTTTAAACTTTGTTCAGAACATACATGCACCTCGATGACTCCTACTGACTACAACTTTTACGTGCTCTAATGTAAGATATCTGAGGATTTCCGGTTCACGTACGCGTGTACCAGTATGTGTGTGTGTCTCCAAAACACCGTGTCCAACAATACATAGGACATCAATGACAATCGCAACAAGAGAACCCTACATACAGAAGCCATTGTATATGCATCATTCATGCGATGACCCAAAGTCTTCATTAATTATTATTTGTATATTTTTCCAATAATTGTCGCCAACACGGAAACACATTAGTACATGTATATATGTATTTATATGCACTGTACACATAATTTGATCTCCATGTTATTGCAGACCTTAAATTATCTTTGTATATATGACAAGCCACAAACGACAATAGCAAATGATTGCTCATTTTCAATAGCTTTACAATGTAAGCGATAATTTTCTGGTATTGGAAGCTTGTGAAGCTATTGTAATAACAGACTAAAAACTTCGCAAAACACATTTTAAGTACTTAACAGCCCCATGGTCCCTAGTGTAGTGATCTACCTTCAGTTGCTGTTGATCTACAACCCCATGGTCCCTAGTGTAGTGATCTACCTTCAGTTGCTGTTGATCTACAGCCCCATGGTCCCTAGTGTAGTGATCTACCTTCAGTTGCTGTTGATCTACAGCCCCATGGTCCCTAGTGTAGTGATCTACCTTCAGTTGCTGTTGATCTACAGCCCCATGGTCCCTAGTGTAGTGATCTACCTTCAGTTGCTGTTGATCTACAGCCCCATGGTCCCTAGTGTAGTGATCTACCTTCAGTTGCTGTTGATCTACAGCCCCATTGTCCCTAGGGTAGTGATCTACCTTCAGTTGCTGTTGATCTACAGCCCCATTGTCCCTAGTGTAGTGATCTACCTTCAGTTGCTGTTGATCTACAGCCCCATGGTCCCTAGTGTAGTGATCTACCTTCAGTTGCTGTTGATCTACAGCCCGTTTATAAGTTTATATTGTTCTCTGTAATAACATCTTTTCTTGTGATAACATGCTAGTTTTAACTTAATTTCTGTGATACTCTTGTAGTTTTACTGTCGATTGACGACAGATTTTGTATGTTTAAATGATCTTGATATTTGATCTATACATTGTTCTCGTCACGATATGACTGAAATATTGCTGATGTGACGCTAAATATTGTCACTCATTCATCAATGAACACTTGGTGTTTTAATGGTACACTACAGTTGTTCACAAACATCTTGTGTTATTGTAACTCTGATTCTAGTACCTGGTGGTATGATATTTATGCTTAAATTGAAACACTGCAGCTAAGTTATAGGCATTAATCTTAAAACTGGCTATGGTCGGGTGAATGAACATGTCATACTGCACACCTTTCTTTCAGTCTCCTGTACTGAACATAACATGTAACGTATAGTCTACCCGTTGGAATACATTACGATTATTAGTCAATCATTGTCTCTTAATAAATGAATGAATGAATGAATGAATGAATGAATATACATGTACCGGCATAATACATATATGGTTACACAGAGAGAGAGAGAGAGAGAGAGAGAGAGAGAGAGAGAGAGAGAGAGAGAGAGAGAGAGAGAGAGAGAGAGAGAGAGAGAGAGAGAGAGAGAGAGAGAGAGAGAGAGAGAGAACACACACACAGACAGACACACACACACAGACACACACACAGACAGACAGACACACACACACACACACACACACACAGGTATATTCCTCAAACTTAATGCAAGACATCTGTAGTAGGCTCGGATTATTCATTCTCATTACTCAACACGTAACAGTTAGGTAAAACGGACAAAGAGTGTATTCCTTAAACTACTGTATAGCTACATTCATCTGCGTGTACCACGAATACCATCTATGGTACACAACAGAACATGTCCTCATAGTCAACAAAAGCGAAAGTTCACTAGAACCAACGCATTCACATAATTCATACTTTATAAAGACTTATTCTTTGAAAGCATGTTTCAATGTTATGTGTGTGTTCATTACAGAAACTGGTGCGTGACAGGACCCACACTCGTGACTTTCTTTTTGAAATATTTACACTTCAGTGAGAGCGCCCCCACACACCATTCCAGTCCTCTGTGCTGTCAGAGTATACAATAGATGCTGAGCCTGTTTAGAAATAAATTCCTATAAATAGCATGGGAAGCCTCTGCTCCACATTGACCGCTTTCTCCAATGTCTAACCGACTGACCGACTGATATACTGACAGTCATCAGCTCTTTACACTGGATACCCTTATAAGCAGTGTTTGCCCTTAACCCTAAAAAACTGCAGGCCCTAAGGACCCAGAATCATAAAAAGTTTTGGGTCCTGATCAGAATGTGTAGGCCCTATATTTTAGCTACAATATAAGTAATTCCAAGCAAACCAAAAATGTGACAACTAACAAACTGAGTTAAAGAGTTTAATTTAGAAATTTAACCTAGAAATTACTGAGTGATATTTTCTGAAAAATAATACTCTTAGTTATTGGGAATGAACAAACTGTTGGCCATATGGACCTGCAGAAAACAAAAGCTGTGGGTCCGAGTAGTTTTCAGTCGGTTTCGGGCCTAAGGACCGACGTTAATTTCGAACGCTTTATTCTATATACTAGTAAACGAGTACCTCCACCTAAACAAATGTATTATCAATAACCGTTTCATGTACTATGAATGCATAAAACATACTAATATACACATGGAAATAAATATAAAAGTATTTTGACCCCAATACAGTCATGTATATTCATGTAATAATTAGGAGATAAACCTACTGTGTGGGAAAATCAGAGGTATATAACGAAATTATATAATAACCGAACGCGTAGCGTAATTTTAAATGAACAATTTAGAGCTATTATAATTTCGTTATATACCTCTGATTTTCCCACACAGTAGGTTTATCTCCATTCTACCATGACAATATGATGAACAATTTCAGGCGGAGCTCTTTCTTTGGTTACGAGTCAATACGTGAAGCGGCCTCGCATTCCAATCTCAAGTGCATCGCCCGAAACGGGGCGATTGGTGGCAAACCGTCAATGACTAACAAACTCCAGATTCAGTAATAACAAATCACGTTTTGTTTTTTCAATGCATCAATCACCAATCATTAACTGATAAGTTGGAAAACATATATCAAATAAGTTTAAAAAGCTTGGTTCACATTTGAAAATGCCACTGTAGACCCTTTCCCCACCAGAATAATGGCAGCAACCTCATGGCCTTGACCTTTTCTCGGAAGTCATTGTTTACATTTACGTGCAAATTTGGAAAGATGCGACAGGAGAGCCTCTGACAGTTTGCGCACGGTTAACCTGATTGTATGACTGAGATAGTCTTTGATATCTAATTACTGGTACTGGTACAAAATTCAAGAGTAGAGGCGCTTTTGCTGTAACGAGAAGTCCGGGTTGTACCGAATTTAGATACTGTTGAATTTTGCGCCCTGTCAACTTGACGATTTCACGCACCTAGAGCTACGTCTGCGTGCGACAGCTGTGGTGACTCTTACACACTCATGTGTGTACTTTGTGCTCAAATTCGATTCTACGGATATTATTTTCTACTTTTTGGAAAGTGTTTTGTGACCTAGTGGCTTCAAAGTGTAGTGAATTCAAATTGAATCGGATTCGCTGGCATGTTCGCGAGTCTGTTGACAAAGAGTCAGATTTGTGGTGATATTTCCGAAAGGATGGATCAGGACATGAGGGTGTACCTCTGGCATAAACACGGTAAGGTAATTAATTATACTTTAATAGACTACTTTAGATCAAGCAGTGTAATGGATAAGAGGGATCATGACTAAGCTAAATAACTTTTTCAACGATATTATACTTTTAGAAACAGAACGGTTTGCAGATTCTGTAATTGTGTTTTACTACCGCTAAATTTGAAACATTACAAATTTCAAAATATCATTTTGTTTGAATTGATAACCCAACTGTTTATTTATGTGGACGGAAGGCATTAAAATTTCTTCGGCGTTCGATGTTAAGCATCCTCCGTTACCGGATCAAGATCAGTGGCGATATCGTTGACGAAAGCTGATAATATATTTAACATGGAAATTATGTAGCAGTCTATTGCTGGATCTATTCTGACATACCATAGAATCAACGTAAACATATTTGTTTTTGCTGAATTTTTATTCGGAAAGCAGACGATGTTTTGATCTTGGAAAGCAGACGATGTTTTGATCTTGTTCGACTGAATATTTGTTTCCATACTTTCGAAGTACTTTTGTATGTATAAACACCTATTGGCTGTGATTTACGCAAGTAGTGAGTCGAGCCCGTCATCGCTAAATCCATCTTTAAAGACATATGTGTAATTTCCGACAGCAAAATCGCCGTAATTTATCGATGCATCGGTAGGTTGTTTGGTGTCCGCCATGTTGGTGGGCAGACAAAAATAGTGCATTACCGTAAACTATGTATGATTGCGCTCGGAAAATCAGAGACCTGTATAACGTGATTATATACCTCTGAATGACTTTAATTAACCAATCACAATCCAGTGTTTACTGAAGTCATGGTAGAATAATGTTTGGTTGTATGATTGTTTTGTTCTTTACAATGAATTTAGATATTCACGCGATACAATCACATCGCGTGCAATACGTGAACTTATCATTAAGCAAATATCAAGTTTCAGAAAGACTGTTCGAGCTGCGAGGTTGATAACCTGGCAAATCATTTATTTCGTTGTTGAAATGGCAAGTGATTGGTATGTGGAATGCAGGCATGTCATTGAGGGCAATGTCAAGAGATGCTATTTGTGATGCATTGCCTGTCAGCCGATTGGCCAGAACACATCAGCAAACTAACGACGTTCAGGACCGTCAGTGTTCAGGTCGACCACGAGTAATAAGTCCTAGGGGGGATTCAGTCCTTCACAGAATCACAAAGACTTCATCCGTTCAAGTTTTTGATACTTACGTGACTTCTTGGAGATTTCATGCCCGAATTTCGAAAATGACGTCCTACGACCAAAGTTATTAGCACTATGTCATGAGTCTAAGTTTTGTCGTGTTTATTTATCTGGATAAACTATAATATTTCGTTCTTTTTGTGTTTAGGTTCGCTACAAATATTACGCGGGGATCAATTCATCCAGATAGTAGGTTGAATTGAGGTTCAAATAAGTTTCTTTTGCTATGGTTAATGGTACCATGTTGAAAAATATGGATGTTGCGATACTATATTCTTTGTGTATATATTGACCTCAGGGTGACCACCTAGTTAGCTGGACCATCTTGTTTCTGTAGACGTGTGGTAATTGCTTCAAATATGGATGATCACGTACCTACATGTCATAACCCTGTAATAGTATTGTTGAACATGAAGCACTTTTATCACGCAAAGTAAGGGGTAATTAATACGACTTGACTATTGTAATAGATGCCTTTATAGGATGTTGCTGGTTTTATCGTGTTGCACAATTGTTTCAGTTTCGCAATCGGAATCTATATTGGTAGATAGTCTGAACCTTTGTTCTCTTGCCTCAAGCAATCATCGCTTGTTTCAGAGTTTCTTAAAAGTACACTGTCACTCAAGCTCGCTGCTGAAAAACCTTACCTCTTTCATATGGTGCAGCCATACAATGGACTTCGCTTTTAATAGCTATTTCTTATGATTATTTCGCTATTATTCAAGTGACAATATGGCCTAAGATAGGGTATCGAACGCATGTCGATAGCAAGCTATAAAGCTTTCCCACATGACGGCCTTCATTTATGAATATACACATTTCCAAATCATCGTCCAATAGGTACCCAATCCACGACCCGTGATCCAGGCAAGGACCACTGAAGCGTAGACACACACCTGCGTCGGCGCACCTCTCCAACCACTCTGGTTCCCGTTGTAGACGGAGCAGGACGGATTTTACTTACACGCTGTGAAGGGAGGATCGTTCCAGGATCCCAAAATGGCTGGAGAGGTGGGTCAATTTGTTAGCAATGTTTATTTGATGAAATATATTAAAATAGGAACATTTGGAAAATATAGCTAATTAAATAAAAATAAATAAAATATTGAATTTGGGGTTGCTTAAGAATCATCCATTTTTGTTTAAAAACAAACTACTCTAAAGATAAGAAGGAATTAGGGTTTACTACATATTTAATCAACTTTATCTTTTTATTTATTGTGAAATGTTAAATCAAATTCCGAACCATCGCATTGACGGAATAACCTTCGCTTTAACTATTCACTAAATTTAAAAGATACATTACATTAAAAATAATAAAGAAATAATTTCACATTTACATAAACTTCGAATCTATCAGTGTAGTCGAAAAGAAAATGTTGACAGTTATCATATTATAATTACAGTATTTTTCTTCTGGAATCTGGTTGGAGGTATATATACATGTCCACAATCACACTTTCCTTCTCCGGACACTCAGACAGAGAATGGTGAACTGGTTTACGGACAAATTCGATGCTATTTAGAATCTGACTGTAGCGCTCGGTACAGTTGTAACATATATCGTTTGCGCATATCAAATGACAGGCCACATAGTTACGATCTTTCGCTAGCTAAACGACCTATTAAATGACTAACAAGACGTTGTCTTTGGCCATTCAGAAAGCAATCAGCTGAAGCATAACGACCCCTTAGTTTCCAAACTATGGCTCCATATTAGGAATGTACTCAGAAAACTATTGGAATAAAATTCCGGATTCAAAATTTGAAAACGGAACAGAGGAAAATTCCATAATATCTGACAGGAGGCCGTGAATGAGTGGCGCTACTTCACACGCCGATGGAAAGTTTTCGTTTCAAATGTGTATCTTTTGAAACGAGAGACGATGTCCAGCTTTCAAAGTAAGCCGTTTAGTCGCTGACTGTTGCGAATGTCCCTTGTTAACCTTTCGTCAGTCTTACACCTTCACGACGTCTGTAGCGACGCTACCGTTGGCGGATGACGTCGTGTTGACCTGTAATGGGATGTCCGCGGGTTTCGCTTTTAATTCGGCGATATCACAAATATTTGTTTGCTTTTCCAGATATGTTGTATCAAGTCTTTTAAGGGTTAATGTTCTACTCTTCGGTTTGCTGTGGAGCTATTTAGCTATGATGTGTTTTATTGTGTGTTTTTATAATATTCTAAAGACCTTTATGCCGACGGTTCGTTAAGCCTGTTATTATTGAAGGTAGTCAAACATCTCTCTCATGAACCATCTCGAGGCATGGTTAGATACACACATAAAGGAAACTGTAGATCGAGAACTAATCACTGGAAGAAGTTACTCGAGGTCTCAAAGAAATTCTCTTTCTACAAACGCAAGTCTTATGTTGCTAGTCAAACCTTACACCACGCTAAAATAGTACTGTCATATGAACGTCTTTGTGAGAGAGGCGCTTGGAATGAACGCTTGGCGTGGAAGGTTGTTGATTTGTTTTTAATCACCATGCGCAGGGCATGGAAAACCTCCCTCTTTGAAATGGAAATGAACCTACATATTGCCTCCACATCAAGGCAATAACATGGGTATATGTTTGTCGACATATCGTGCATTCATTCGCTGGTTGGAGACGCACGGAAACTGGAAGCACGCCAAATAGCGTTTGCCTTTTGTACAGATGTTGTCGTTTATGGTGTCACTAGTGTTGCCTTCTCACGAGATTCATTTACCTGACAGGCTCAATGGTTCAAGGAGGTTCGGTCACAATCAACGGTGGTAGTCAAAATATAAATTTTGTTTGGGGAACATTCTTTATGTAGAACGGAGCCGTCTCGATTTAAGATTTAATGGCTATGAGAACATGGATCACATAAGAAATACAGAAATATATTTTTTAATATCTTATTTTGTTAACATAATTCTGTTTACAACAAGAACACAGGAACCTCATTACGTTGTTTACCGGAGAATACATCGAGCTTCCTTGATTCATCACTGTAAATGTATTGTTGCACATTCCAGCCATCCCAGCACACAAAGATCAAACCCATGATTCACGTAGATAATTTTATTAAAAAATTAACCCACCTGAGCATGAGGCATTATCTACAATTTCTGTACCTGGATTTGCTGTTGGCTACAGTCACAGTCGAAAACACACATTATTTCTATTCACAATAACTGTCCTGTCATGCTCCCTTTATAAGGATTTTTAAAATGTTACTTTTTAAAACGTTTTATTATGTCATCGGTTAAACAGATACAACTTTATGAATAATTATAATTACTGGTTGTCCTTTGTTGAGTGGATTTATGATAGTCAGACTCTGAATCGAACATTTCATGACATTCTCAAACCTTCCTGCCCGGTGGCACTTGCCTTATTGCTTGAACAAAACATCAAACAAACCGAGTATGTTGTACCCAGTGGGCCTTGTCGTATTGCTTGTACAGACATGTGTTGTACCTGGTGGGCCTGGTCTTATTGCTTGTACAGAGATCAGGAAACTGAGTGTGTTGTACCTGGCGGGCCTGGTCTTATTGCTTGTACAGACATCAGGGAAACTGAGTGTGTTGTACCTGGTGGGCCTGGTCTTATTGATTGTACAGACATCAGGGAAACTGAGTGTGTTGTACCTGGTGGGCCTGGTCGTATTGCTTGTACAGACATCAGGAAACTGAGTGTGTTGTACCTGGTGGGCCTGGTCTTATTGCTTGTACAGACATCAGGAAACTGAGTGTGTTGTACCTGGTGGGCCTGGTCGTATTGCTTGTACAGACATGTGTTGTACCTGGTGGGCCATGCCTTATTGCTTGTACAGACACCAGGGAAACTGAGTGTGTTGTACCCAGTGGGCCTGGTCTTATTGCTTGTACAGACATCAGGGAAACTGAGTGTGTTGTACCTGGTGGGCCTGGTCGTATTGCTTGTACAGACATGTGTTGTACCTGGTGGGCCATGCCTTATTGCTTGTACAGACACCAGGGAAACTGAGTGTGTTGTACCCAGTGGGCCTGGTCTTATTGCTTGTACAGACATGTGTTGTACCCAGTGGGCCTGGTCTCATTGCTTGTACAGTCATCAGGGAAACTGAGTGTGTTGTACCCAGTGGGCCTGGTCTTATTGCTTGTACAGTCATCAGGAAACTGAGTGTGTTGTACCCAGTGGGCCTGGTCTTATTGCTTGTACAGACATGTGTTGTACCCAGTGGGCCATGCCTTATTGCTTGTACAGACATGTGTTGTACTCAGTGGGCCATGCCTTTTTGCTTGTACAGACATGTGTTGTACCTGGTGGGCCATGCCTTATTGCTTCTACAGACATGTGTTGTACCCAGTGGGCCATGCCTTATTGCTTGCACAGACATGTGTTGTACCTAGTGGGCCATGCCTTATTGATTGCACAGACATGTGTTGTACCTGGTGGGCCATGCCTTATTGCTTGTACAGACATGTGTTGTACCCAGTGGGCCATGCCTTATTGCTTACACAGACATATGTTGTGCCCAGTGGGCCATGCCTTATTGCTTGCACAGACATGTGTTGTACCTAGTGGGCCATGCCTTATTGCTTGTATAGACATGTGTTGTATCTGGTGGGCCATGCCTTATTGCTTGCACAGACATGTGTTGTACTCAGTGGGCCATGCCCTATTGCTTGTACAGACATATGTTGTACCTGGTGGGCCATGCCTTATTGCTTGTAAAGACGTGTTGTACCTGGTGGGCCATGCCTTATTGCTTGTACAGACATGTGTTGTCCCTGCTGGGCCATGCCTTATTGCTTGTACAGACATGTGTTGTCCCTGGTGGGCCATGCCTTATTGCTTGTACAGACATGTGTTGTACCTGGTGGGCCATGCCTTATTGCTTGTACAGACATGTGTTGTACCTGGTGGGCCATGCCTTATTGCTTGTACAGACATGTGTTGTACCTGGTGGGCCATGCCTTATTGCTTGTACAGACATGTGTTGTACCCAGTGGGCCGTGCCTTATTGCTTGCACAGACATGTGTTGTACCCAGTGGGCCATGCCTTATTGCTTGCACAGACACATTTTGCTTGTACAGACATGTGTTGTCCCTGGTGGGCCATGCGTTATTGCTTGTACAGACATGTATTGCCCCTGGTGGGCCATGCGTTATTGCTTGTACAGACATGTGTTGTCCCTGGTGGGCCATGCCTTATTGCTTGTACAGACATGTGTTGTACCCAGTGGACCATGCCTTATTGCTTGTAAAGACATGTGTTGTACCTGGTGGGCCATGCCTTATTGCTTGTACAGACATGTGTTTTACCTGGTGGGCCATGCCTTATTGCTTGTACAGACATGTGTTGCCCCTGGTGGGCCATGCGTTATTGCTTGTACAGACATGTGTTGTCCCTGGTGGGCCATGCCTTATTGCTTGTACAGACATGTGTTGTACCTGGTGGGCCATGCCTTATTGCTTGTAAAGACATGTGTTGTACCTGGTGGGCCATGCCTTATTGCTTGTACAGACATGTGTTGTACCTAGTGGGCCATGCGTTATTGGTTGTACAGACATGTGTTTGTACCTGGTGGGCCATGCCTTATTGCTTTGTACAGGTGGGCCATGCCTTATTGCTTGCACAGACATGTGTTGTATCTGGTGGGCCATGCCTTATTGCTTGTACAGACATGTGTTGTACCTGGTGGGCCATGCCTTATTGCTTGTACAGACATGTGTTGTACCTGGTGGGCCATGCCTTATTGCTTGTACAGACATGTGTTGTACCTGGTGGGCCATGCCTTATTGCTTGTACAGACATGTGTTGTACCTGGTGGCTTGTACAGACATGTGTTGTACCTGGTGGGCCATGCCTTATTGCTTGTACAGACATGTGTTGTACCTGGTGGGCCATGCCTTATTGCTTGTACAGACATGTGTTGTACCCAGTGGGCCATGCCTTATTGCTTACACAGACATATGTTGTGCCCAGTGGGCCATGCCTTATTGCTTATACAGACATGTGTTGTACCGAGTGGGCCATGCCTTATTGCTTGTATAGACATGTGTTGTATCTGGTGGGCCATGCCTTATTGCTTGCACAGACATGGGTTGTACTCAGTGGGCCATGCCCTATTGCTTGTACAGACATATGTTGTACCTGGTGGGCCATGCCTTATTGCTTGTAAAGACGTGTTGTACCCAGTGGGCCATGCCTTATTGCTTGTACAGACATGTGTTGTCCCTGGTGGGCCATGCCTTATTGCTTGTACAGACATGTGTTGTCCCTGGTGGGCCATGCCTTATTGCTTGTACAGACATGTGTTGTACCTGGTGGGCCATGCCTTATTGCTTGTACAGACATGTGTTGTACCTGGTGGCCATGCCTTATTGCTTGTACAGACATGTGTTGTACCTGGTGGGCCATGCCTTATTGCTTGTACAGACATGTGTTGTACCCAGTGGGCCGTGCCTTATTGCTTGCACAGACACATGTTGTACTCAGTGGGCCATGCCTTATTGCTTGCACAGACACATTTTGCTTTGGCTTGTACAGACATGTGTTGTCCCTGGTGGGCCATGCGTTATTGCTTGTACAGACATGTATTGCCCCTGGTGGGCCATGCGTTATTGCTTGTACAGACATGTGTTGTCCCTGGTGGGCCATGCCTTATTGCTTGTACAGACATGTGTTGTACCCAGTGGGCCATGCCTTATTGCTTGTAAAGACATGTGTTGTACCTGGTGGGCCATGCCTTATTGCTTGTACAGACATGTGTTGTACCCAGTGGACCATGCCTTATTGCTTGTACAGACATGTGTTGTACCCAGCTGGCCATGCCTTATTGCTTGTACAGACATGTGTTGTACCTGGTGGGCCATGCCTTATTGCTTGTACAGACATGTGTTGTACCTGGTGGGCCATGCCTTATTGCTTGTACAGACATGTGTTGTACCTGGTGGGCCATGCCTTATTGCTTGTACAGACATGTGTTGTACCTGGTGGGCCATGCATTATTGCTTGTACAGACACCAGGGAAACTGTACTGTATCCGGTGGGCCTGGTCTTATTGGCCAGGGGAACTTAGGGAAGTTGTGTGTGTACGTGTGTGTTTGTGTGGGTATATGGGTGTGCGCGTTCGTGCACGCAAGTTGTCTGTGTGTCAGTGTGTGGGTGTGCGTATGCGTATGCGCATGTATACCATCACATATGACTTGCATCCAATGCTTGAAGAAACTTCTATCATAGACTAAGGCGGTGGATTAGCCTAGTGGTTAAAGCGTTCCTCCGTCACGCCGAAGACCCGGGTTCGATTCCCCACATGGGTACCATGTGTGAAGCCATTTCTGGTGTTCTTTGCCATGATATTGCTGGAATATTGGTAAACGCGGCGTAAAACTAAACTCACCCACCCACTCTTTCATAGACTGAAGCTGTAGCTCATATTTCCCGAGAATGAACAATCAATATATCTTGAGTAATCCCTCTTAGACAGCTGAGATATCAGACACTCCATGGCCATTTACCCTGTGTAATAACTCCACCTAGTGGAATCAAAACCTTAGATCGGAAGCTACCCTAGAAACAAAACAGTCAGGCTTGAGACCATGTTCAGAAAACGTGAGCATGAACAGGGTTCTTCCAAATACACATCACTCTTACATCTGTCAAAGCGACTGATTCAATACAGCCATTGTCCGAATAAACATGTAATCTCAAAGGCTAATTACCAGCCATGACATCGATATGTCTGTATCGCTTAATTGTCATTATTCAAATCATACTGTCAGTCAGTCTATGTCCCGACTTCTTGTGTTGGTACGGAGGCGAGCAAGATGGCCGCTCGTGGGAAACACCCTGAGGGGTGGTGGGGATAAGGATTGGACTGGACTGCAGTAAAGTGCCACATTAGTCCCTGTTCGAGAAACTGAGCATGTCAAGGTCAAACACTTAGGTTTCATTGTAATCTACTGAGGTCGTATAGGCAAGTCCCTCCCTCCTCACTCCTTCCAACTCCTCCTCTCCTCTCACTCTCCATCCATTCCTCTCCCTCACTCACTCACTCACTCACTTCACTCACTCATCACTCACTCACTCACTCACACTCACCTCACTCACTCACCACTCACTCACTCACTCACCCACTCACTCACTCACTCACTCACTCACTCACTCACTCACTCACTCACTCATCCTGTTTCTGTTGCCAGGAGACACAAGAGCGCGGCAACTGGAGCCGGAAGATGGACTTCATGCTGTCCTGTATCGGGTTCGCTGTCGGTCTCGGCAATGTGTGGAGGTTCCCGTATCTGTGCTACAGAAATGGAGGAGGTAGGTGTGGTATCCGATCCACTGCTACATGTTTCAATCCTTGGTTTGACATAACTACACCTGTTATTGTAGGTTTCACCGATGTGATAGAGGTGCGAAAGTTGTCATGGTTTTCATCCCCCATCAAATTGTCAAACGCTGATTTGACAGAACTGTTCAAACCAGCCTCGTTTTCAGCTCTGTAACCAACACTAGTTTGCATACTAGGGCTGGGAGGGGTAACTCGGATACCCGGGACGGTTGGGTAATGAGTTGGACCCGGTTACCCGTCTCAATACCCGGACCCCTTATGATCATGTGACTAATAGATTAGACATGTTATTCTTTGATGATAAAAAACAGGTTGTATTGTCTTTGAAGATTAAAACATAATTTAGTCACCTGTTTTGAATATAATGAATGGTTAACATATTAAAACATTTTACCCTCCGAGCTGAAGAATATATTGCCATTTCTTACAAATTTGATGTCAGGAATTAACAAAACGGGTATCAGGGTAGGGTAGGGTAAGAGGGGGTGGAGTAGCCGGGTAGAGAAATTGGACCCGTCCCAGCCCTAAAACCGCTGATGTCGACAAAACCGGACTACGTACATAAGTCCAAAGCTGATACGTCCTGTGTAAAAACGGTTCACCACTGAAGGCGGCAGCTACCTGGGTCAAACATTGTACGACATTCTGATAGTCACTCGTTCATAGAATTCCACAGAAATGAACTGAAGCCTCCATAAACTGGTACAGATCCACAGTATATCGATTTTCGTAACACCAACCTACATGCCTACATGTTTGAGACATGGTGAAAGCTAACAGATCCATGTTTGATGTCAAACATTTAGAGTGATGAACGATGGTGTGCAAGCACACGGGTGAGTTAGAGGATAGTGACGAATACCTGGCAGAGAATCAGTCAAACATGAACTAGATTCTCATCAACACCTTTACGAGTACTTCGTGAAGAAGTTACAGTGTGCACTGGTGCGTGGAACAAAGCCACCATTGTTAAGATGTTTTTCACATTTGCAGTGGGCAAATGGATCCATTATCTGTAAATCTTCCCTAAACGTTTTCTGTGTCGTTTTAAGTGTCGAATTCACCATGGGGCCAAGGTAATAAAATAAAAGTACAGATAGGATTCGATGGAGGACAGTCGGTCTAGATATATAAAATATGTAGCAACCCATCTTCAGTGGTCTGAGGACTAAACCGTGGCAGACAATATATAAGCCATGAATCATTGGATAACGGCAAGTGTATTGTAGTGTATATCAATGTAGGATATCTACACTAAGATAAGGCTCCCCATGTAGGATATATACATGAAGATGACTCTCCCCTTTTAGGATATTTGCACTAAGATCGCATTTTCCGAGATGATATTGTCCACGCAGGATATATAAAAATAGATGATATTGCAGGATATATACACCGAGATGATATTGGAGGATGTATACACTGACATGACAATGCAAGATATATACACCGAGATGATATGGTCTATGCAGGATATATAAACGGAGATGACATTGCAGGATAAATACACCGAGATGATATTGCAGGATATATAAACTGACATGACATTGCAGGATATATACACCGAGATGACATGATCTATGCAGGATATATAAACGGAGATGACATTGCAGGATATATACACCGAGATGATATGGTCTATGCAGGATATATAAACGGGGATGACATTGCAGGATATATACACCGAGATGATATTGCAGGATGTATAAACTGACATGACAATGCAAGATATATACACCGAGATGACATGGTCTATGCAGGATATATAAACGTAGATGATATTGCAGGATATATACACCGAGATGATATTGCAGGATATATAAACTGACATGACAATGCATGATATATACAACGATATGATATGGTCTATGCAGGATATATATACGGAGATGATATTGCAGGATATATACACCGAGATGATATTGCAGGATATATAAACTGACATGACAATGCATGATATATACAACGATATGATATGGTCTATGCAGGATATATATACGGAGATGATATTGCAGGATATATACACCGAGATGATATTGTCCACGCAAGATATATAAACGGAGATGATATTGCAGAATATATACACTGAGATGGCATTGCATGATGTATACAACGAGATGATATGGTCTATGCAGAACACATACTCTGAGAAATGCGCTTAAATGACATCATCAATGTAAGACATATGCATTCTGCTCCCTATATAGGATTTATACACCGATACAAAGAATTTGTTTCCTGTACCATTTAAATATAACTGATCAATGTACATTTGCGACATTATGTCTACTATATACAGTTTCACACTTAGGGGCTGAGTTCTAAGGTGTCATTGTGGAAACTGACACTTGACATGATATGGAAGTTAATGTTTAAGCAGTACCGGGATAGTCCAGTGTGACCCTGTGTGATCTGTTCCAGCTACCTTCCTCATCCCCTACCTCATCATGTTGGTCCTCGCTGGGCTGCCCTTGTTCTACCTGGAGCTCGCCCTGGGACAGTTCGCCTCTGAAGGCCCCATCACGGTGTGGAAGATCAGCCCTGCCTTTACAGGTGAGTTGAACGCGGTTATCGCTTCTACATCTACTACTGCTGCTTGTGGAACTTCTTCTAACGATAAACATGTAATAATTGCACTTGATTATACTAAAGACAGTACAGTAATGGGGGAGAGGAGACGTTCTGAACAACTTGGTGGATTAGAGGTATGGGTAGATTTGGAGCAGCAACTGATTGAAGCGCTGGTACAATGTCGAATGCAGATTTTGACAGCAGCTTTATTTGAACAGCAAGTGTGATTAGAGTTACCGCCCCTTGCTTTTAATAACGAACGTCGCAGGCTTCATCGTGTGAGAAGTTTCGTGATCTGACAGTTTCTTGAATGCTGGAAGTTGCTGTAAAAGAGCCACAGGAGGGCGATTCGAGGCATTTGATTGCATCCTGGGGATTGGATACCTGTCTAGAAGCACGGAAATCATGCAAGCATCTGACAGTATAATGATTCAAGATCCAGATACAAGACATTGGACAGTGGCAAAATTATGGACATTCGTTAGTGCACTGACATATCATCGTGTTGATACTGCCATAATTTTACCTATTGTACGTGTTGTCTTTATTGTCTGTCATGGTTATTTATTGTCTCTCGTGATTGTCTGTATTGTCTGTCATGATTGTCTATATTTTTTTTGTCATTGTTGTGTTGCTGGACTAACATTGCCAGCAATGAAATGTCACATTGTGTTCATTGTGAATGGATCTGGTTATTTATAGTTTTCAGAATTTGGAACTAATTGAAGTCTAGGTTAGCCATTTTGCTTCAATTTCATAATTCACACCATAACACTATGAATACAATACTGTCCAATTTCACTTCTTATCTTTAATGTCCAACACAGGTATTGGTTTCGGCATGTTGACCATCAGCGGCATGGTGTGCATCTACTACAACGTCATCATCATGTACTCCATCTACTACATGTTTGTCAGCTTCGTCAACCTCGACGACACGGTTCCCTGGGAGACGTGCAACAATCCCTGGAACACCTTAGCGTGCAGGAAGAAGGCCTACCCTGATCTGAAAAGCATGGACGAGGAGAACAGAACAATGACATTATTTGGTAAAAGACCGACTAATTGATGCTCTGTTTGTATATACCTTGGTCCCGATCCACAAAGCGTTCGTAACGATGCGACCTATCGTAACGCTATGCTTTATCATGGGATTACGAATGGCGTAAAGCGACGGACGCTTTGTGGATAGAGTCCCTACAATGATACGGTTCCAATAATCAATATGATAATGTTTGACATATTATAAAGCTCACATATATAAGTAAATGCTTATATGTGCAAGGCGTGTTGTCAATGTCAGGAATGTCGGTAGGTCACACGCCAAACGCCTTAACAGATAGATAGATTGTGTTTATTTCCTTCACGATTGAAGATTACAGCTTATTGAACAACGTTATACATGGACACACCTATGATTTATACGGCATCAAGATGTATGTACATAATGTCTACACAATGGAATGAGGTTGCAAAACATGATACCATTTCGGAAAATGGCGTACTATAAGGAACATACAGTCTTTCCATGTTTTAAAATGGAACATCCGACAAACAGTCGGGTACAACTCCAAACATAAAACACATAATGACATCGTCATCATTAGACCACCGACCGGTGAAGGTCCGGGTTAGAATGAACCTTCAGTAACCCATGCTTGTCGTAAGAGGTGACTAACGGGATCGGGTGGTCAGGCTCGCTGGCTTGGTTGACACATGTCATCGGTTCCCAGTTGCGCAGATCGGTGCTCATGTTGTTGATCACTGGATTGTCTGGTCCAGACTCGATTATTTACAGACCGCCGCCATATAGCTGGAATATTGATGAATGCGGCGTAAAACTAAATTGACTCAATCACTCATTAGACTACCAGTCAACAAAGGTATTTACATCAGTGATATCACATAGACTGTCAAACAGTTCATTTCTTTCAAGCATTGTGATAGGGCAGAACATAAGGATGTGTTATGGCAGTGTCATTTGCTACTCTTCCACATTCACCATATTTGATTTTGCTGACACCGAGCTGACAGTGTTGATAAATCTTTAATTCTGCAGGGAGTATGAATAGCTAGTTTAAATATTACACGAAGGCGATCGCATGGTGTGTTGAAACCTGAACTCGTCGAATCCTGAAACATATGTTGCCTTGACAACACAGTTTAGATGTGATATTTCTTCTCACGACAGACGAGATTTACAAGAAGCCATGCGTAGCAGGCCTTCTCAACAACATCTCCGACGTCTACAACACCACCTTCACCAACGTTACCGAGCTCAACTCCACCATGATCCAAAGCGACATCACCAAGGGCTGCATGATCAAGTACACAACGGCCAGTGCAGAATACTGGGAGTGAGAATGTTTTTTCATATAGACGGAGGGGCGGTGGGTAGCCTAGAGGCTAAAGCGATTGCTCGTCACGCCCAAGGCCTTGGCGCGATTCCCCTCTTTGGTACTATGCGTGAAGCCTATTTCTGGTGTCCCACGCCGTGCTGGAATATTGCTAAAAGCCGCGTAAAACTAAGCTCACTCATTCACTCATTTTGTCGGATGTAATGTAGAGGTCAAGCCTATTTGTCCGTCCGTAGTCTACTTGCGTTTTATCTCTAGCATATATCAGGTATGACAACAGCCGATTTCAATTTTGGAGGAAAATTATTACAAGTTCCATCGGCACTGAATGAGAAGTGCAAAAGCAATGCTAATTCAAAGACAAAATTTCATAGGTAGGTACCCAGAATAAATGTTAATACAATGTTATTAACAACGGCACGGCCATTTACAATACTGGGAGTAGATATAGGACGTCAACATAACAGGGTTACCAGTCTACATTATCTACCTAACAGAATCCATTGGGGAAAAAGCAAAATAACTGTGCAAACCATATAACAGTGATTTAGTGAGCGACATTAAGGCAGCTTTAAACAGTGCTTCAGTTACAAAGATACGAGTGTGAGTGAGTGAGTTTAGTTTCCAGCAATATCACGGCGGGGGACACCAGAAATGGGCTCACACATCGTACCCATGTGGGGAATCGAACCCGGGCCTTAGGCGTGACGAGCCAACACTTTAACCCCTGGGCTACCCCACCGCCCCACAAAGATACGAGTGGCGGCGGGTTAGCCTTGTGGTTAAAGTGTTCGCTCGTCTCACCGAAGACGCCCCGTTTGGAACACCAGGTGTCACCATCGATGTTAAGAGATCCACTAATATTGTTTTCACAGTTATTTTGCCCTTTTTGCCCAATGGATTCTGTTAGGATGATACTACAGACTGGTAACACCATTTTGGAACACCGGGTGTTCCAAAATGGTAAACATGTCCTACTCTGCCGGCAGCATTCACCATTCTCATATTTTAACATAAAAAAGTAGGTGTTTATTTGTTGCCTAATGTTGCCCATACGACGACGGCCAGAAAAATACTGCGTTTGAAACCCCACGAGTTTGAAATATGACAGATTTTCTCCGCTGATAAAACCTACACTCGTGCTCACTGCGGGGATTTTAAGAGGGCTTCAACAGAATTTCCTGACATGTCTTATGCTTTTGAGTCCATGCCAACTTTGAGACTGACTGACTGACTGAGTTTAGTTTTACGCCGCTTTTAGCAATATTCCAGCAATATCACGGCGGGGGACACCAGAAATGGGCTTAACACATTGTGCCCATGTGGGGAATCGAACCCGGGTTTTCGGCGTGACGAGCCAACGCTTTAACCACTAGGCTACCCCACCGCCCCCCAACTTTGAGACGGTGAAGGTGAAAGTAATAACGTATCATTAATACCCTACACACGAGAACCCGATGTTTCATAAATGGGAGGTAACTTATGACGCTCTGACTGCTCGGATAGTTCTGCGTCATATAATCGACACCCGAAGTTAACATTCTTTAACCGAAAATTAGCGAACCCACGGTAGGATTCAACTCTAACAATAAATTGAAGTTTCCAAATAGAGTTGGTCGAAGTGAATTATGTTTCCAAGTTTATATTCTGGTTATCGATAAATGATATACCACAAACGTTTATCATTTTTGAAGGTTTCGGCCTAATTCCTCCTCCCCGAGCCGATATTGGTAACACCCTAGTACCAACTGTTTGAACACGGATTACAGCTGTTGTTATTGATGTGGAAGTGATACAGGAAAACAGTCATCTGAGAGTGTGAATGGATATGTATGATTTTACGCCGCTTACAGCAATATTCCAGCAATGTCACCGCGGGGACACCAGAGTTGTGACCAGGACATGGGGGGAATCCCAGGAAGTCAGGAACCTTAAACCAATGTCATCAAATCGTACGAATAGGTCGGAAGTAGAGATCGATAACGTTGCAACAAAGATGTAGTTTAAACAACTGATGACTGATTTGTTGACGAAAAAAATGGAAAGAAATGAATAAAGGGCAAAGAAATAAGACAACTGATAAACATTTGTTGTCTCAGTTCAAGGTGTCAACCCGTGAAGATCTGGGTTAGAATCGGTCCACAGCAACCCATGCTTGTCTAAAGAGGCCACTAAGAGGATCGGGTTGTCAGGCTCGCTGACATATGTCATCGTATCCCAATTGTGAAGATCGATGCTCAAGATGTTGATCACTGGATTGTCTGGTCCAGACTCGATCATTGATAGATCATCGCCATTTAGCTGAAATATTGTTGAGTTCGGCGTCCCAAACATCCCGTTTTTTAGTCAATAAAGGGGGATAACTCTTCTGAGCTTATTTGTCAGGATTTGCAGTTTGCAGATTCTCCACAGTGATGGTTGATCTGAACTGATGTTTACACGAGCGTGCTGACAATGCCATGTGTAAGACTTATGTAAATATAATATTTTGTGTTACGATGGAAACAAGATTCACACACATAACTGGAATGACATTCCTCTTGCAGACGCTACGTCCTCCGTGTTCACGAAGCTGATGGTTTTGAAGACATGGGCGGCTTCAGTTTGAAGAACGCCGTCACTCTGTTCTTCGCCTGGATCCTTATCTTCTTCTGTCTCATGAAGGGAGTCAAGTCATCTGGCAAGGTAAATGGACGTGATCAACTGCGGTTACGACGCTACATAAGCCACAATAGCCTTATCGTCCGCTTGTTCTCTAATCGTTAGAGGGGCGGTGGGTTAGCCTAGTGGTTAAAGTGTTCGACCCGGGTTCGATTTCCCACATGGGTGCAATGTGTGAAGCCCATTTCTAGTGTTCTCGGCCGTGATATTGCTGGAATATTGCTAAAAGCCGCGTAAAACTAACCTCACTCAATCATTCACTCATATTGTCGGACGTAATGTAGAGGTCAGGCTTATTTGTCCGCCCAGAGTCTACTTGCATTCTATCTCTAACACATATCAGGCATGAGAACAGTCATTTTGGAGGCAATTATTATAAGTTCCATCGGCACTGAATGCCATGTGCAAAGCAATGCTCAATAAAAGACAAAAATTCATAGGAAGGTACCCAGAATAAATTTAATAAAATCATATTAATATACACACGGCCGTTTACAACACTGGGAGTAGATATAGGACGTCAACATATGAGGGTTACCAGTCTATGGTATCAACCTGACAGAATTCATTGGGCAAAAAAAGGCAAAATATTACTGGATCTCTTAACATCGATGGTGACACATGGTGTTCCAAACGGGGCGTCTTCGGTGAGACGAGCGAACACTTTAACCACAAGGCTACCCCACCGCCACACGTCTCTTTGTAACTGAAGCACTGTTTAAAGCGGCCTTAATCCCACTCACTAAATCACCTTTTTCTCACTGTCTAATGCTGCTAAATGCGGCATAAAGCAGCATTCATCCCCCCTGCATGTGTTCCAGGTCGTGTACTTCACCGCCACCTTCCCCTACGTCATCCTGATCGTCCTTCTGATCCGAGGCCTCACCCTGCCCGGATATGAGAAGGGGATCGAGTTTTACATGATTCCCGTCCCAGAGAAGCTGAAGAACGCTAAGGTGAGAGTTCATCTTATTCAGGGCTGTGTACAATACTAGAGTCTATATGTATCCCCACATCCCAATCCGTAGTCTGTATGTAACTCCGTCTCTCAAACCGTTCTGTGTATGTAACTCCGTGTTCCAATCCATTGCCTATATGCAACTCTGCGTCAATTTATGCAGTTCTTATATAAGTCTTTATATGGTCAATAAATACTCACGAGTCTCAATCAACCGTCTTTATGTATCTCTTCGTTCCATTCCGCAGTTTGTATGTAACCCATTTTCTAGCTACAAAGTACATACGTAACTGCCCGTCTATATCCATTGTTCAAACACGTTAATTAATCCACCGTCTGTTTATGTATGGAGGTAAAGTTGTAACGGGAGTCCTGGGTTGTTTCTCCAGATCAGCATAGAACTGGAAGCTTGCAGCTGTTCATGATGGCATAATACAGCCGAACAATCCCGTTTGTATCCTATATTCGTTGGTTTCACATTACTTTTCAACTCGCTGTGCGCATGCCTATACTTTTCAAAAATTGATGTACCATTTTGGCTGCAATTCCATCTGAGATGTGTTTGTTTAGTTGTGAGAAGGGGATGTGCAGGAAGGACGGTGGTGGTGAGATGTCTTTACACAAGAGCTTGTGAACATAAATTAAGCTATTTAAATAACTAATCCTGGCTTTTGTTTCATAAATCAATTGGGATGAGTTGCATTTGACATAAAACTAGATATTTGTTTTGATTTTTGTTTTAGTTAGAGTGTGTTTACACTCGGTAAAGCATACGACAAAACCGCAAGTTGGCCAGTGAATATTTTTAACACGCTCTGCGCATGCGCACAGCGAGTCGAAATATTAATGTGTAACCAACGAATATGGCAATCTCCAAAAAACTGTAATTGTGTTTCATTACTCAGGACTTACGTTTATACTCGTAGCTCACAGTGTCAATCACTGGATTGTCTGGTCAAGACTGAGTGCGGCATTAAACAACACAGAAACGTGCACCTGGCATCTAGTTTTCATAGTTGAATGTTACAGCTGTTCATTGTTCTTGTGTGTAGGTATGGGGAGATGCAGCCTCCCAGATCTTCTACTCTCTTGGGCCAGCATGGGGTGGTTTGCTCACCATGAGCAGCTACAACAAGTTCAAGAACAATTGCCAACGGTGAGTCCAGGTTCGAATCCCTCCCCACTCTGACCTGTGCATGTACAACTGCTCTCGTTTGTGTGGACATCTCATTGTAACTACTTGAAAGAAATTGGTCTGTATCATAAATTTTAAATCGTTCTGTGTATAACTATTTTGGTTTTAAGTTTGATGTAATGGTGTTTGTAATTCATATTGTAATGTTGAAATGTATATTTAAATAATATGTATATATATTCCCTGTCTTTGTATATATGTTGGACGATTGTATATGTGTAGGGGCGGTGGGGTAGCCTAGTGGTTAAAGCGTTGGCTCGTCACGCCAAAGACCCGGGTTCGATTCCCCACATGGGCACAATGTGTTAAGCCCATTTCTGGTGTCCCCCGCCGTGATATTGCTGGAATATTGCTAAAAGCGGCGTAAAACTAAACTCAGTCAGTCAGTCAGTATATGTGTAGACTTGGTCTCGTGGCTATATGGCTGAAATAATGATCACGCGACGTCCGATGTTAACTCACTCACGTGTGGCCGTGATGATGTCGTTGCAGGGACGCCGTTATAGTCGCGTTGATCAACTGTGGAACTAGTATCTTTGCCGGGTTTGCCATCTTCTCACTGCTTGGGTTCATGGCTCACATCACCAACAGACCAGTGGAGAGCGTTGTTGACTCAGGTAAGGTGTTCACCACTACTGTAGATGTATTCAAATTATGGTCGTGCCCACACATTTACAATATAGTCCTGTATGATAATATATACCCAGACTTTACACTACGACCATCACAAGGTTGGGAGAGTTACACACTCATTGATTCGGTATATTTGGCCGATTTGCATAGATATGATCCCATACACACCGAGACGTTCAGGGGCTCTTTGTATAAATAACATTGTAGAAAATACTTGTAAAATTTAGAATATACAAGGGTGACAGATATATTCCACACGACATCAGTTAATACACACACAATCGTCAAGACAGGCCACAATAATCACACACAATCGTCAAGACAGGCCACAATAATCACACACAATCGTCAAGACAGGCCACAATAATCACACACAATCGTCAACACAGGCCACAATCGTCAACACAGGCCACAATAATCACACACAATCGTCAACACAGGCCACAATAATCAATACACACCACAACCGAGAACACAAACCACAAGAGTCAACGCACAAGACACACTGGCCTCACCCTTGACATCACCTCGGGTCGTGGGTTCTAATTCCAGAATCGCGATGATCCGGACCCTTGGTGTCAGATGACTGAACCCATGCTCATGTGTTACACCGAAGTGGTGCACGTCTAGGACATCACATACATATTATCAGTTTAGTTTGTGAAACACGCTCAAAGGGCCGTGCAGCCTCAGTCACTGCACGAAAAGTATTAGTTTTCAATTAATTTATAAAGATTATTTACAAAGTGTTATTTCCTTTCAAATAGGTCCAGGCTTAGCGTTCATTGCTTACCCAGAAGGCATTGCACAACTTCCGGTGTCTTCCGTTTGGGCGTTCCTGTTCTTCTTCATGTTGCTAACACTGGGACTTGACAGTCAGGTACCACCTCGTCATCACTTACTCTAAAACACGTAGTACCTCGCAGTTGCCACTGCTCTAAATATCTACATCCTGGAATAAAGAAAGGGACATAACTCTAACACGGTTACGTTAGACCGGATAACGGTTAACCCGAAAGATTTTAATGGGAATGTGTGGGAATGTGTGGGTTTTTTTCATTTAGATATGGTAAATACCAAAGTTTTTGAAATCTGTGGATCATAACGGCTATGCTGAAACACTGACATCCAAATGAAAGGAGGTGCAAGAGCAAGATCCTCCCATCATCTGAAAATGTGAAATATTAAGTTCTTTGTTCTTCATTATAGGATGCTTGCCATCTGCTTCGAGCTGATTATCTTAGGATTTGCGGAATGGCCTGATGAAATGTTTTGTGAAGTCATTATAATATTGAGTAATAATAGAACTTGTACTATCAATGGCTAAAGTCATGTCAGTTATAATATACATTTTCTTGAGCTCAGAGAGCATTTCGTCTCTTGCATGTACGTCAAATACAACCAGGCATAACTGTGGCATGTAAATAGATTTTGACACACAAACTCTCGAGTTCTATTCCTAACATCAGTACAATAGGGCATCATTCTTCTGATATCTCCTGTGGCGATATAGCTGGACTACAGCTCACCAACCCCCTCTCTATCCACAGTTCGTTATGATGGAGACCGTCATCAGTGGAATCTCTGACGTCTTCCCGAAGTTCCTCCGGAAACACAAGACACTTTTCACACTCTTCTGTTGCCTCGTTGGTTTCATTCTGGGACTGCCACAAGTCACAAAGGTAAGTCCTAACTCACGGAATCTATAAAAGTGCTGTTTCAAGTCACAAAGGTAAGTCCTAACTCACGGAATCTATAAAAGTTCTGTTTCAAGTCACAAAGGTAAGTGGTAACTCACGGAATCTATAAAAGTGCTGTCTCAAGTCACAAAGGTAAGTCCTAACTCACGGAATCTATAAAAGTGATGTCTCAAGTCACAAAGGTAAGTCCTAACTCACGGAATCTATAAAAATGCTGCCTCAAGTCACAAAGGTAAATCCTTACTCACGGAATCTATAAAAGTGCTGCCTCAAGTTATAATGGTCGTTAGATTCGTTAGAACTATCGTTTTGTGTGACCTGATACTCATCCGACACAGGAGGTGTGTAGGGGCTCCCTTATCTTGATGGAATATGACGTATGCGAGGCTGAAGCCTTGTGTTATATTATTATCATTTTACTATCTATAGCAGGATGATACAGTTATACACACATACAATATATACCCGTTTATCCGGTAGGGTGGAATCTACATGCTACAACTGATGGACTGGTATTCTGGCAGCTACAACCTGATGCTGGTGGCTCTGGCGGAGATAATATGCATCATGTATGTCTATGGTGAGTGACAAGTAGAAGCAAGGAAATGTAAATGTGAATACACTTGATTGCAAATTGAAGTCTTCGTCGCTCAAACGTCACGCAAATTAACTACGCCCTGTTTAATCGATGTCGCCCTGTAGTACTGTCAGTTGTGGAACGTTGTTCTTTGTTATCCTTATGTTGATTTTCCCCAGGCTACAAGAACTTCATGAGTGACATCGAGATGATGGTCGGCAGCAAGCCCAACATCTACTGGCTCGCCAACTGGCTTTTTCTCACGCCTGTGGTTATTGTGGTAAGCAGTGGTATAATCGTGTAACCTACCTATGTGTATTATACCAGATGGGTCACGTCATCTCATGTCTCCAGAATTTTAATCGGATTTTCCTGATTTACTTAATTCATCTTCAGGTATCCACTGCCCTTCTCGCTGTTAGAGTTAATCCCGTCTCCATCTTACACCGCCCTTCTCAATGTTCTAGTTTACCAGTCTGTTAAGCTATGTTACACTGCCCTTCTCGCTGTTCAACTTCGTGTCGTCTGCTAACCAATCTTACACCGCCCTTCTCGCTGTTCAAGTTCATCTCGTCTGCCCACCCTTGTTACTCTGCCCTTCTCAATCTTCAAGGTCATCTCGTCTGCTAACCCATCTTACACTGTCCTTCTCTCGGTTCAACTTAATCTCGTCTGCTAAGCCATGTTACACTTCCCTTCTCTCTGTTCAGCTTCATCTCGTCTGCTAACCCATGTTACACTGCCCTTCTCGCTGTTCTAGTTCATCTTGTCTGCTAACCCATGCTACACCTCCCTTCTCTCTGTTCAGCTTCATCTCGTCTGCTAACCCATGTTACACTGCCCTTCTCGCTGTTCTAGTTCATCTCGTCTGCTAACCCATGTTACACTGCCCTTCTCACTGTTCTAGTTCATCGTGGTGATGTCGGCCACCCAGTACATCCCTGCCTACTACGGAGACTATGTGTTCCCCGACTGGGCCCAGGGCCTCGGATGGTGCATGGTCGTGTCGCCAATCCTCTGGATCATCATCATCATGATCATTCAGATCATCCGGTTAGGACCGGTGAGTATAAACGACGCAGTTCATCTAAGACGAACTCGTACTTGATTCCAGTTAAAAACTATGATAATAATAATAATAATTAATCCATTTATACCGGCTAAATTCACACCGACAGCATGCTCACAGCACAGGATTAATGTTATGAAATTCTGTGTGAGTGACCCAAAACCTTTCCATAATGATACTAAACTGTACCATTCCAGGTGTATCTCATTCATTACTTGTGTAGGCCCACGACTCATGTACTATTGAAGGCACACTAAAGAAACTATGGCCATGCGGCGATTCATTGTGAGATGCAAAATATGGCAGTATTTCAAATTAAAGATATTTCTTGGATAGGCATTAGACTATTAAACTTAGACTGTATTATGAGCATGCGTTTCTGGATTTCTATCAAAAAGTGATGATGCCATGTAAAACATGGTCAATATGAAAAATGCATCGGATATAATGTTTGCCACTGATGTGTCAAGTTTAGAAATATTCCATACGTTGATCAATTCTGTATGTCTACCATAAAACGTTTCGAAACTTTTATTGAGGCCTTTAATGTTATAACCCTGATCAAACACACACTGAGCAACTGCATCGTGAGTTCTCAAGGCTCAGTAAATAATACTGTTACATGGCCACCTCCATGTTAAGGTGCATTTTAGGTAAAGTAGCTTGTTTTGCCAAATGTTTAAATATGCATGGAAAAATATGTCAAATAACCAAAGTAATTTAGAATCATCTTTCACCGCTGAAGATGCAGTGAACTAGGAACAGATTAAAAGGCTAGCCACCTTCACCTGCTGTACGTCACTTTCATCTCACTGGGTGTTTAATATACACTACCGTGTTTTTATCTAGGCCAAAGCTTTCAAGGCAACGCCGAGTTGGGGACCCGCTAATCCAGAGGACAGGACCGGCAGATACGCCACCACCACAACCTTCGACAGCGTCATCACGGAAAAGCCACCATTGCCTTACACAAATGGAGGATCCGATAACCCAGTGTTCTACAGCGAAAAGCTGTGATATAAGAATTCCAGAGAGACACCAGGAAAGGACCATTGTCCTGGACTCAAAGAAAGGTCAATATCCAATCCAGGCGACTTATTTGAATGATACCTGGTGGGTTATCTCCCTTCTCCACGCTGTACTCACTTCTTGCTCATTTTTCGTTTTTATTCCTTTTACTTTGTAATACTCAATGTCATCTCAGTAACCTTGTACAGGTACACATGTACTGATTTCAAGTTACATGTCCGTCAAAATTGTCAATTTCAGGAGAGAACAAAACTTTAATTGACTTCAGTCACGATTTGGTTTGTAAAACATTTAGATGTCTACATGAGGTTCCCAATTCCCGACGTTGTCAATTCTATTGTGTTTGATTATACAGATTTACAATACTAGGGCTAAACGTGTAACAGTTTGGTAAGTCAGTGTCCTGGGTGTTCTCTCAGCATGATGGGACTTGATAGACTTACAAACAGAACACAACACTGACACGCTCGAATATAACTGTAACTCGAATATAACAGTACAATGACAAGGCTAACAACGATGGAACATATCCTGTCATAACTGTTGCTATGTGAACCTCGAATATTTTCCAACCCCGTTTCTACCATATGTCACGTTTCTTATTCAGGCTGACATGTCCGTGTCTTTTGTAGAGTAGTATTACAACATGTCTAATGGTTGGCAAATGTATTTACAACTCTAAGTTTATTTTTATGAACATAATTTTTATGCGTACTTGACGCTATCTACCAGAGGATTAATCACGAGATTTCTTTCGTCCATTATCATGTTGTTTACATATCAGTAACACTCTGTGACAGCTTCCCTGAAACAAATGTTCGTTTTTTTTAAATACATCAAATGACACTATTTATGTTTATTGTGATTTGTAATTCTACGTTCTATAAAAACATGATTGTCATGATTGACACTGTAATTTGTATACGTCTGTCTAATTGTTTTATAAATTTAAAAATATTTTGTAAGAAAAGTCATTGTCAACAAATGTTGTTTTTTCTTTTTCATCTTACTCATAAACTTTGTACCACAAGTCGACAAAAGGCTCAATGAATCAAACCAAGTTATCTCAAATGGATAAAACTGGGCTCAAGAAAAGCGCGTTTATCACCGAGGGATTTCACCTGGAGTAATAACGAGACGCATACCCTGACAAGGGAGACAACTCCACCATTACTTCCAGTCGGTTCTAACCAACGATACTTTACATGATGAAACTGGAGATCAAGGCCAGTATTTGTTACCATCGAAGCCCGTAAACATCTCCAACATATTTCGTCGATGAACATCAACAATCACCACCATCGTACACATTTAATTGTTTGTCTTTCACAAAAAAAATGAAATTGACAAAACAGAAACGGGAACTAACAAAATATTGTCGAAAACAACTACCATTGGCTCAACCGTATGCCACGATAGGATTTCCCTGGGATAAAGTTGCTTGTGGAGAATACAATCCCACTAACTGTGCACAGAACGTCGTAAGTGATAGATCAGATAGACTTATGTCAACGTAACGGCAAAGTATTTCCAACATGCCAATTACGAATTTGTAAAAGAAATTATCAGCTACAATGTCTTGGGGACACAACATGCTCTTGCATAACAGTATCATGTTTAGACATTCAAGATTAGTATAGAGATGTCCAAACAAGCTCCAAGTGTAGAGCAGTCCAATTATAGGTACATATGCAAGCACCGGGTATAGCGTAATTCAAATATTACAGATACCTGGACAAGCTCTGTTGAAGAACAGACCACTTAAAGATACCTAACAAATTCCCGTGAAGAACAGACCATTTATAGATACCTAAACAAATTCCTGTGAAGAACAGACCACTTATAGATACCGAGACAAGCCCATGTTGAAGAACAGACCACTTATAGATACCGAGACAAGCCCATGTTGAAGAACAGACCACTTATAGATGGTTAGACAAACTCCTGGTGTAGAGTAGGTCAACCCATCCGCTGTTTTTCGTCATGTGAAATGTTTACCTAAACCCTATCCTCTAAAAAACACATGCCCAAGTTTAATGCATGAAAATATCCATTGTCATTGTGTATAAAAGACAATACAACACCTGAACAATACCCCACGTTTATTGCCCAAGGCTATGGTGTGCTAAGTACACTTCACACAGGCCAAGAGAATTTCTTCACAATGAGGTACATCTACCACAGGCTACATTAGTTAGACATGACTTAGCAAAACCTATTCTTTCTTGTCGCCTGTCAACGCTTGCTCTATTTGAAAGGAATGTGCAAACGCAACGCTTGAGTGCACCGCTAGCTATCTGCCCAGGAGAGCCCCCTTCACACTTGAGTGGTTGCAACAAGGCCTCATATATTTTCCTATACCCTCAAACCTATATTACATATGCATAATACCAGTTGAATATATGAATTTCAGCCACCCCTTTAAACCTGAACAAATAACAATATCCTTTATGTCGGTGAAACCAGTACCTGTGTATCGTATGATCTGACTCAATATTGACAGTAGACGTAAACAATGATATAAATAGCCCCATATACTTTCAACAGCCTCTAAAGCCACGCAAGAAACACATGGACAACCCTCCAAGGTCACTTGCCGTAGGGAGGCGTGTCATCGCAGACAGTACATACATAGTATAGTATAGAGGGGGTTAGAGTACAGTCCATGGTTCTGACCGGTCACATGTACTGTACATGAACCATTTAGTTGTATACCAGGACAACAGTAAATTTTGAGATGTAATGTTGTTTTTAACGTGACATAAGAAATAGAGACGTGCGAGCACGTTTGATGCTAAATTACCTGTAACAATGACAGGAGTTCGTTGTGTTTTTAACAAAACACCTGACATGTATTCTATTTACAGGATGTGGGAGAATAGGTTATTGTCGACCTTGTTGACCAGGGTCGAAGTTGTACACTCAATTAAGAACCAGTGAATTATATATGATGTTTATTAAAAGATTTTTATTTTTTATTTTTCATGGTTTCAATTTTACAATTCTGTTTGTCATTGGCAACAGTTACATATACACAATTTGACATACATGAGGTACACAAGATACATTGATCCTTTACGATGTACAGACAATGAGGTAAAGTCACATAAATCAACTTTTCAATGTACCATGTATTGATGACCAGAATTTAACAAATATATCGTTTTCACCAGAAACTAAAACTATAAATTTTTAATGTCGTAATACTGCTTAATTTTGCCTAGTATATATCGGACATTCGGAAAATTTCGTATATGACTGAGTGAGTGACTTTAGTTTCACGCCGGTTTTAGCAATCCAGAAATGGTCTCCCACATTGTACTCACGTGAAATATCGTATCTGATATTCGCTGAGAGGTTTCTGTAAACCTCCTTGAGATTCGGGGTGAGAACTGAAGTCGTTTTTAATAGATTAGACTCAGAGAAGTGGTTGTTTCTGCCACGGACCTGCGATAAAGTGAATGCTTGCTCACAATATCAATCACTGGTTTGCATGGCCCAGACAGGTTTATTTACAAGCCGCCATCACATAGCTGCCATATCGGGTGTGGGAGGGAGGTTAAACCAAACAACTCATATTTACCACTTGTTACTCCCAGTTCGATCACCCGTAAAGATCCGGGTTAGAATTGATCTTCAGCAACCCATGATGTCGTATGAGGCGACAAACGGGATCGGGTGGTCAGGCTCGCTGACTAGGTTAACACATATCATCGTACCCCAATTGCTTAGATCGATGCTCATGATGTTGATCACTGGATTGTGTGGTCCAGACTGGATTATTTACAGACCGCCACCATATAGCTGGAATATTCCTGAATGCGGCGTTAAACAACAAACCAGCCAACCAAAGTTCAAATTGTTAGGTACATTCCATGGAAATATACACGACAACATTATTGCTTGCGCAATTCGTTGGTGAGTCGCGTGTCAAGGGTACTTGTTTTATGGCAACATTCAATATATCCGGGTCTATTGGTTGGTGAAATCCCATTGCCCGCAGACACGTACATGAACTTTGACCCAGGAGTGGCTGGTTACACTTCAATAGACATTTATTTACACTGTCAGTTTTTAGAACTTAATTCGTTTTAGAACACGAGTCTCGATTTGTAAATACCACCGCAGAGGAAATGTCAGGAGTCGAAGTATCTGATTGGATGGAGTTTGTGACGTCAACTCGGGGGTGAATTAGCTTCGCGTCAGTTCCTTACTTCACCAATAACAGAGAGGAGCGCTTATCTGACCTCTCCTTTTTTCTTATAGTGGGTCATAAACAGAACACCAGCAGCTGTGTGTGAACGAGGATGCTCTCACAAAGCACATCTGGAAAATAATCCGAACATAATGACTTCATGTTGTTAAACACGACACCACAAACTTCAAATTAAGTTCACATTCAACGTTTATCACGTTTTTGTATTGTAAACATGTGGTCTTCAGCAATCATGCTTGTTGCTAGGGGCGACTAACGGGACTGGTGGTCAGGCTCGCTGACTTACTGGACACATGACGTATAAGACGTAAGTCGATGCTCATAATGTTGATCACTGGATTGTCTGGTCCAGATTCGATTATTTACAGACCGCGGCCATGTAGTTGAAATATTACTGAGTGCGGCGTTAAAAAGCAAAGAATCAAACAAATAAACAAAACAACGTAAACATGTAAGGGCCGATGGTTTGGGTACAAACTTGTTCATCTTGAGCCTTCTTTAGCGTTATAGGACCTCCTTCTTTGATGTGCATTCGGTAATAAAACTGTGCGGGAAGAGGCAGGTAATGATGCATAGATACCTGACTAATGTCGCGTAAGTAACAAATGAGTCACATGTATTGCATTTATCTCTTTGATCGTTCATTTACAGGCTCAGCGAAAACGTAAATTACCCACCTGCTTTTGTCCTCGTATAGTCCGACGTTTTATATGTACCTGAGTGCATTGTCTTGGTGACGTCATGCCGTCAACGCCCTCTCACCTGCTCTACACCTTCACACAGACGGACACAGTGTGGGATGCTCTGAACACAGGCCTACAAGACCCCCCTGCCCCATCCCATTATTTCGTTATAAACGTTAAAATGAGTGGAAATGACCCTGTACCAGCGTGGTGTACTGGAGGTTGACATGTGTCAGCTGCAATAGGCACAGTTATACTGTATTACACTACGCATAGAGGAAGGGCAAACTATTTGTTGTGTATGCCCAATTTAACACTAATACTGAAACTTGTTATTGTACGATCGGATGCGTTCTGTGGCTCTCATGTTTCAGCCACTGGTAATGTAAAACCCAAACAACTTCAGACCACGAAATGGAGAGCTTACCGAGACGACTGCATCGTGTAACGTAAACAACGTGAATCGACGGCTTTGGTCGCTGTGGGACCAACAATGGCGGAGGGACAACGGTGGTGTCGTTTAGTATATTATCATTGCCCTACACTGAGCAACAGGTATACTTGTGGTTGGGAAAGTCTTCAAGGATTTCTCATTCCTTTTGGGGGCGGTGGGATAGCCTTGGGGTTTAAGCGTTCGCTCGTCACGCCGAAGGCCCGGGTTCGATTCCTCATTTGGCCACAATGTTTGAAGCCCATTTCTGGTGTCCCTCGCCGTGATGTTGCTGGAATATTGCTAAAAGCGGCGTAAAACTAAACTCACTCACCCCTGTTGCATGAGACAGACCTAAATCCAAGGTCACGCTACCGCCAACGTTGTGTCTTCTGTGGCACGGGCACCGTGGTTTGCACGTGACCGGGATAACTCTACAGCCCACGGTATGGGGACCATCATGTTTCCATATTACCCCTTAAGAAAACCCTTAAACCGTTCATCCTTAATTTATGTGTATGGGCTGTTTTGGTTAACAGGGTTGGTAGATTCATGTCACAAAGCTGGGGAGCTAATTTGGTCACGACAACCCATTGTGATGAAACTCAAATGGTTTACACCATCGATAGATAAAGTTCTGTCGGCGTCTTTGATATTTTAGCGAAGTCCATTAGTAAAGCTGATATATCAGTTATTTAGCCAGCTGGTCCTGGGTGCAGTGTTGATGAAAACATTCTTAAAACCAGCATAATGGCCCACTTTTGCTGAAGCAAACATGACATAGCAGAATTATTTTTTTCATATTTTCATAGGTTTCAGTTTCGTGTCTCCTTCACTGATGCAGAAAAAGGAGGCAACGTGAGGTTCGCTCCCCATGGTGATGACGCAGATTCAGTCCATGAGAACACATGTGCTGCTCTGGTGTCAATAACGTGATGACACAGATTCAGTCCATGAGAACACATGTGCTGCTCTGGTGTCAATAACGTGATGACACAGATTCAGTCCATGAGAACACATGTGCTTCTCTGGTGTCCCCGTGGTGATGACACAGATTCAGTCCATGAGAACACATGTGCTTCTCTGGTGTCCCCGTGGTGATGACACAGGTGATGACACAGATTCAGTCCATGAGAACACATGTGCTTCTCTGGTGTCCCCGTGGTGATGACACAGATTCAGCCCATGAGAACACACGTGCTTCTCTGTTGTCTCGGTGGTGATGACACAGATTGAGTCCATGAGAACACATGTGCTTCTCTGGTGTCCCCGTGGTGATGACACAGATTCAGTCCATGAGAACACATGTGCTTCTCTGGTGTCCCCGTGGTGATGACACAGATTCAGTCCATGAGAACACATGTGCTTCTCTGGTGTCCCCTTGGTGATGACACAGATTCAGTCCATGAGAACACATGTGCTTCTCTGGTGTCCCCTTGGTGATGACACAGATTCAGTCCATGAGAACACATGTGCTTCTCTGGTGTCCCCGTGGTGATGACACAGATTCAGTCCATGAGAACACATGTGCTTCTCTGGTGTCCCCGTGGTGATGACACAGATTCAGTCCATGAGAACACATGTGCTTCTCTGGTGTCCCCATGGTGATGACACAGATTCAGTCCATGAGAACACATGTGCTTCTCTGGTGTCCCCGTGGTGATGTCACAGATTCAGTCTATGAAAACACATGTGCTGCTCTGGTGTCAATAACGTGATGTCATTTGAGGACGTTGGGCCTGCATCTTATTTCACCATCGGCGGCAGGTATTACTCGCATCACCTGTAAACACAATAACATCAGAACACCAGGGATCTACTTTGTGATGAAAAACTACAAGGACTGACGGATATCATTGACTTGAATACTATACACTGAGAACGCACTGAGACCTATATTGAGAGAAACGTGATACCGAGACCCCTGTTATGTAACGTATTGCACGTAATGAAGATGTGTAGGAAATTTACCCACACTATGCCCACAGTTGTGTTTTGTTTCGTATCCAAGTAGACATTTGGGGTTAAGTTTATTTTTCCATGATTCACTTGCACCCATGCGTGAAGACCCCCAACGTCTTTATTGGCGACAACCAAACAACACTTGCAAGTAGGTACCGGCAAGTCCTTGAAAGTATGTGTGTGTATGATGGGATCAACACGTCCTTGGATATACCCTTACTAACAGACGCGACAAAACCCGTTTCACATTAATAAGAAATGTTGGCTTAAAGCAGACTCGATTGAACAATTCAAACGACATTATAAGCATGTGTCTGTTCTATGTCTTTATTTTTTTTTTACAAAAAAAAAAATAAATAAAAAAATAAATAAAGACATAGTGTCTGTTCAACTCCGCACTCGGCAATGCCACAGTAGTATGACGTCAGTCTGTAAATGATCGAGTCTGGACCAGCCAATCCAGTGACTGACGTGAGGTACGAGGACAAAGCAGCTATTTATGAATCACAATCGAATAATGATTATACTCATACTTCGCAAAATGGTGATCGTATCCTGCCCCGTGCATCCATGGCAACGACACCGGAAGTGGATTACAAGTCCATATACCCCGCCTGTTCGCTCAACTGAGTATAGTTTGACCGAGGTATCAGATATTTTCCAATATGATTTATTCTGTATCTGGGGAGTTTAAGCGAGCATTGATTGTGGAGGGTTTGTATCAGCTATCATTTGTATAAGGTGAAAGACCAAGAGCATAATAGAAATAGAATATATTATGTTAATATGTATGTGCGCAATACATCCCCAGATGAATGAATACCACAGGGATCACATCCAGGGATCTTGCAATACCTTCTCCGCTGAAGCGTGGCATCTATTCAGGGTGCAATAAACAGGTTGGATTGCATCTTCGCCAACAGACTCAGTGTCAACAGCGTGTTTTGGCAGCGCTCCAGTGGTGTCACGGCTTCCCAGTGGGTGACTCAGGAGGCCTTTT